TAACATTATTTTTGTGATTTTTCGTTAATTTTTGGAAACCAGTGTAAATAAGCTGCAGATAAAATAAAGATTAAAAATGCTTCATAATTTTTTATGCAGAGTGCATGAAACTAGTTGAGGTTCTTATCCCTGACTTATCTCATTCAGAATATAAGCAAAAAAAAGAAATTAATTTCTTGTTCATGTTTTGTACACAATGATGCTAGCATATTTTTTTTTTTTTATTATTGACATTTACATTGAATCTGACATTTTCTTATTGCATTTTATAATTTGCTTTTGTTGCTTAAGAAGAAGTTTTTCCATGGATAGTGTGCAGTTTTGCTATACGTCTGGAGCTGTTCCAATAATTTACATTACAAACTAATGTGTGCAAAATTCTTAGTTATACAGGGATTTTTTGAATGTTTACTTAATTTGAAATGATGGATGCAGCCCATGCATCAATATGTGTATTTTGATCAACGTGTAGAAAATGAGAAACTCCAGAATCGAGTTATTCCAAATACTCATGAATGATTTATTTATTTTTCCCTTGTTATCTTATGCCAGAGAAAGAGTACTTAAATAAGAAATGCATTTTCCTTTGCTAATGCCAGTCAAATTGTACGATTTGGGGAAAAAAGGAAATCAAGCTTATGCTACTGAATGGAACACGGAGAGAAAAGAAAAATATAAAACACATAACTCTCAAATTATTGTTATTTGAACAGATAAAAGGTTCATGTGACACTAAAATTTTATAAAAGTAATAATCCTTTTCAACTGCATGATTTTGTTCTTAATAGTGAGCCAAAAAGATGAACTTAGGTTTTACAGTCTTTTCTGCAAAGAAAATTCAATTTGTAAATAAAATGAAACTGAACTGTAATGATATTGATGATTTTCAAATTTTAATGGCTAGCACTAGTTTTATTTTTAAATAATATCTAAGCAGCTATGGGAAAAATTCATTATAACTAAAATTTGACAAAGCCAGCAACAACTTCAGTATTTTATGAAAGACATTCTATTACAATTAAATTCAGCAAGAACTACAAAGTACTATTACATATCAAGAAGTCAATACTAGTGCTCTAATACTCCAAAAATGTATCAAGGCTCTACATCGGAGACTTCAAATTAATAGAAAAAACTACTACAAAATACAAGGTCCGGCTATTAAATTTCCAGGACTGACGTAACTGTAGGAGAACGAAAAGTCGGAAGATTGCGCTAATGATTGCATATTGAAGAGCGTTTTCTTGCGCATGTGCAGTGCAATCGGCGCCTTTCTGAGTGTGTGTATGTGTGATTATGACAAAGCCTCGAGGGCTATCTGCCTAAGAGGAGGGATGCCTTCGTGGAGGACTTTCTAAGGAAAACTGGCTCGCATACACTAAAACCACGAAAACGCCCATGCAGCCAGCCCGTTCGCAGGATGGCGCCATTCTGAAGTAAGTGGTTCTCGTGGAAAGGCGCATTAAAATGTAGCTCTTAAATCGAATGTCGAAGTGAAAATGGAGCAAAGAATTAACATTAAATTTTGCTTCAAATTGGGCAAGACAGCTGTGGAAACCTAAAATGTTAAAACAAGTTTACGGCGAGGAAGCATTATCGCGCTCAAGAACTTTTAAACGCTTTCTGGACGGGCGCGAAAGCGTCGAAGATGATCCACACACAGGTCGGCCGCAGTCCGTACGCACGCCGGAAGCAATTGAAAAAGTTCACGATATGGTGAAATGTGATTGTCGATTGACTATTCTAGTACTCGCCAATGAATTCAACATGGACAAAGAGACGGTTCGGCGAATTTTGACGCAAGACCTAGGCAAACGCAAGATTTGTTCCAGATTCGTTCCTCACCATTGCAACAAAAGCAAATGTGACTGAACAAAAGCAACTGATGAACAAAAGCAATTGAGACTGGAACGCATGTGGCTAAGCTTATCGACAATGCTGAATGTTGACCCTGCGTTCCTGGATAAGGACAGACACGTCATGGGAGACGAGTCTTTGGTGTTATCAATATGACTCTGAAACCAAGCGTCAAAGCTCCGAATGACAGTCTCCAAGTTCACCAAGGCAGAAAAAATTTCGATTCGAAAAGTCCGAAATCAAGGTCATGTTAATCGCTTTCTTCGATTGCAATGGATTCATTCATCATGAATTTCTTCCTCCTAACATGACTATCAATGGATAGTTCAACACATAAGTTCTTAACCGACTTCGAAAACGAATTCGTAGAGTAAGGCCTCATTTTCAACAAAATGGGAGTTGGCTGCTGCTACATGACAATGCCCGCCCACACATTGCGTTCGATTCTTAGCCCAGCATGGCGTCGGTGAAACGCAGCATCCACCATACTCTCCAGACCTAGCACCCGCAGACTTTTTCCTGTTTCCTGAGCTGAAAAATTCGCTGAAGGGAACAAGATTTCAGGATGTCGAAGCCATCAAGAAAACTGTAACGTTACTATTAAAGAGCATTCCAAAAGAGGACTTTAAAACTTCTTTCCGAAATTTGTACAGCCGAGCACAGGCATGTATTACGGCTGATGGGGATTACTTTGAATCGTATTAAATGTGGCTATGTGTTTAACATTTTTTTCTTCTTAGTTATTCCATGAGTCCTGGAAATCAATAATAGCCCGGACCTTGTATTTTCTAACCTATATGCACTTCCTAAATTTCACAAGATCCATGTTAAATTCAGATTCATAGCCTATGGTACAAAAAAATTTTTTTTTAAAGAAGTTGAGTACCTTTTTGCTACGAAGCTTAAAGAAATTCTCAATATTATTAATAGCACTAATTTTCAAGACCGCAATTGCAACTGGATTATCAATAACCATGAACCGATTACAGAAGCTCTCCAGTCTTTGGATATTAAAAATATTAATTGCTATGACTTCGCAAATTTTTATACTACTTTACAATTAGAAGAAATTTATGATAGTCTGCTCACTCTTCTAGATTTGTTTACACGCATTCTTACAATAGTCTCCAAAGAAGAATGGAAGATCTACTTAAAGAGTTTCTTATTTCATAATTACATCAATTTTAATAACACATTTTTTAAACAAGGGCATTCCAATGGGCTCGAGCACATCATCTGTGATCTGTAATTTGGTCCTCTTCACAAAAGAATATCAGTTTCAGTTTTCACTTACAAATGTACAGCGTGCCTATTTTCCCAACCTTTACAGATATGTCTATAACATCTTTGCATTCAAAAACTTTAATAAAATCTAAGAAGCCAATATTTATCTTACTTGTTTCAACAAGACTAGCCTATAACAGAATGATATTAACTACCTCAATTTATAAATTTTAACTACAAAGGACTTAAAATGTATGATAAAAGAATAGATTTTAATTTTCATACAATTAAACTCATAAATAAGAACTCCAGTATCTCCAAGAAAGTTATACTTGATGCTATTTATGCACAAATTCTCCGAATCAAAAACGTTTGCAATGAAATAGATTACCTTCAAGAATTACTAAACTTTAGCCTTTTCAGTCATTTGTTTTTTGTCTTTGATTATGAAGTTTTTGCGGTAATGGCGAGTTTCCTTTCTTTAGGACATTGTTTATTCCAGCATTTAGTTTTTAATTAGATTTAAGGCTTAGCAGTTTTACCTATTTTTTCTCAAAAAAGAACATTGTTTTTCATGTTTTTGAAACTGCCCTTTTTTTGTGCATGTATTTTGACCGCTGACAATTTTGACATTTGTCTTAATAACTCGCTTCAGAAGCTTTTTTCCTTATTTAATATTTGTTCTTTTTTATTTTTGTTTTGCCATCAGTAGTATCACTTAGTTTTTTTAAGTAGTTTATGCTACTTTTTCTTCTGTATCTACTATTATTTATTTTATGTATTTTTGTTTCCTGTGAGTATGAATGTATGTACGGGAAAGATCTGAGCGCATTTTAGAATAAATTGAAATATCTTTTATCATTTTAAAATTTATGGTTAATAAATTGCTAAAAATTGTATAAAGTCTCAAATGCTTCAGAGGAATGAAACATGCATTCGGAACTCATTAAGCTACAGAGTTTAAGGGTTTCAAAAGACTTTTCCCTTGACAAGTTCTGTTTGAGGCGTTTAAACAAAGGAGATTATTTTTTCATGCATTTGTATAGCACTTTGTAATTTTTACAGTCTCTTTCATGGTAGTGTTTTTGATTTTCTTTGAAGAGCTTTTTTTTTTTTTTTTTTTAACTAAGTACCATTCAAAACACATAACTTGGTATTCATTACCATTTTCATGGAGATTAAAATAAGCTGGCTTTTATCTATATTTATATTTAGTTTATGTTCCAACATTTTCTTCTCTTTGAAATGATACTTATGTACATACATACATACACACATATATATACATATGTTTAAGAAAAATAAAGAATATGTAAAAGATTACATTAACAACGTAAATTTATCTTCTCAATTCTAAAACACCTTTCTGCACTACGTCATTTCTAGATTAATCCATGTTATATAACTCTTACATAATTCTGGTGATATAAATGGAACTAAAAGTCAAGCAGCCAAAAGTAATTTTATAGCAATACTAACTATCCAATCAAAATTCATTGAGAACCAAAACTCAGTCTGAATTAAGATTTCACCCTGAACATAATGCACTTGCTTTCTACCTTTTGGCCTAGCTGGACTGCAGTCTGCCTGTTCCTCCTTTCTTACTGCAAAATTATCTAAAATATAAGCTTTTTGGAATAGGCACAATTAATGTGCCAACTTGCTTGTGGCCGCAACATGTTTGCTGATATAAAAAATTAAGATTTAATCTGCCTTCGCCCCCAATTTCCTATTCATTATGAATCAACACTTCTATGCCATCGAAATTCTTGCTGTTCATTACAAATTCAATCGCCTGCGTTTTACTACAGAATCTATTACATATATATATATAATACATGACTATAATTTTGTAATGTATAAATCTATTAATTTTGCAAAACTTTTTTATTGTATGCATTCAAATAAATTTTGAAACATAGAGTTAAAGATTGGTTTTATTTTTTCATTTCACAAATGCAAAAACATTAAAAAAATTAATTGCAGTTTCACATTCATGTAATTTTTGTTTTCACATTAAAACATATGTAGGTGAAGTAGTTACACCACAGTTGTTATCCTTTTGGCTCATTAGCACATAACCATCATTCCCCCAGTATGTAGACCATGAATTTTTTATAATCCAGTAGGGCTGACCATTCATCACACCATATCCGACAGCCAGAACAGAATGATCTAACTGATCTTCTCTACTTTCTGGGGAATAAAAAAAAATTAACTATAGTAGTAAAAAAAATTGAAGCTAATCTGAAATAAATAATAATAAAAAATACATAAAACTATTAATAACATTAAACAAATTTGTTGCTTCCACCTGTGATCATAAACAAACTTACGATTTTACATTAAGAGAGGGGGGGGGAACAGACCTATGGCTTAATTGAATTCCTTTACCATCTACGAGATTGTTAGTTTGCAACAATTAGGATAACAATTTTTTTGTCTCCTCCCTTTTTTAATGAATTGGATTGAATTTTTAGGAATACCTGGAAAGTATCCAACTCCTTGAGTTATTTCAATAGATTTTTTTTTTCTTATCATGTTAAAACATAAGCGCCCGATTCTCTAATATATAAAATAAGCGAATGCATGAAACTTGCTGTGGTATGAACTGCACGGGAATGAGACACTTTTTAATTCTCCCATTTTCAAAAAGTTCTATATATATTTTGAGACTCGGTGGTAAGATTAAACAGAATTAAATAATAAACAAAGATTAATGAAGGTGGATAAATTATTTTATTGTTTTATTTTACAACATAACTGAAACTTTGTGCAGCAATGAACAGTAAAGTTAAAATAAATCAAATCACGAAATTAATCAAAAACTTCACTGTACATAATGTTTTGTGTTAAAACATTGTTAAACATTCATAATAATGGCTGAAATATAATAATAAATTGCACTAAATTTAATGCTAAAGAATGCATTTCCACCTGATGTGATAAGAGAGAGAGAAAAAAATTTGGCAGCTCTTCCACAGGACAGGAGAGAAGGTTTTTCTCTTGAAAATGTAAGATCAAGTGAGTATGTCCACACTACAGACTCTTTTTTTTTTTTTTTAATCTTTTCTTTTTTTAAAATAAGAATTACTGTATCTCTATGATCAACAGGAATAATGTTTGCAAGAAATTTTGAAAAAAAAAAAAAAAAAAAAAAAAAAAAAAAAAAAAAAAAAAAAGAAAAAAAAAAAAAAAAAAAAAAAAAAAAAAAAAAAAAAAAACAAAAAAAAAAAAAAAAAAAAACAAAAAAAAAAAAAAAAAAAAAAAAAAAAAAAAAAAAAAAAAAAAAAAAAAAAAAAAAAAAAATAAAAAAAAAAAAATAAAAAAAAAAAAAAAAAAAAAAAAAAAAAAAAAAAAAAAAAAAAAAAAAAAAAAACAAAAAAAAAAATAAAAAAAAAAAACAAAAAAAAAAAAAAAAAAAAAAAAAAAAAATAAAAAAAAAAAAAAAAAAAAAAAAAAAAAAAAAAAAAAAAAAAAAAAAAAAAAAAAAAAAAAACAAAAAAAAAAAAAAAAAAAAAAAAACAAAAAAAAAAAAAAAAAAAAAAAAAAAAAAAAAAAAAAAAAAAAAAAAAAAAAAAAAAAAAAAAAAAAAAAAAAAAAAAAAAAAAAAAAAAAAAAAAAAAAAAAAAAAAAAAAAAAAAAAAAAAAAAAAAAAAAAAAAAAAAAAAAAAAAAAAAAAAAAAATTTTTGGAAAAGATAAATTAATAATGTACGGAAATTAAATGCCACAAAAGCTTATTAAGCTATGTAAAAAATGTTCCTAAAATTTGGATCCAATGTATTATATTAAAAGATAAATCACCACGGGTTCTGTTATGGACATTGATGATAAGAAGTTATTGTTGAAATTATAAAGAGTAATTGGAGAAAATGAGCTTTTTCACATCTAAAATTTCCTTCTAACTCCAATCTGATAATGATCATAAGTACAGTATTTTTAAATTCTGATAATGCTAACAAACCGCTTGAGTATTATAGCAGTTTTATTCCATTTAATACAACAATCAACTAAATATTTCATCAATAATTTGATGGACAAATCATTTTTAGAAAAGAATACAAGTATTTTATCACATTTGTCATTTAAAAAATATTAATCCCTGATAATTCAAGAATAAAATACACTCACTGAGCCCCCTTCTAAAAAACGCACACACATGGAAATATTACACTGCTGTCAAATTTGGTATGCGGTTTTACCACAAACAGATAAGCAAGAAGGCAACTTTTGTTTCATTTGTTGACAGACTTGAGAGGAATTCTAATGAAAACATAAACGGAATCAGAAGTACGCTGAGAATACCCATCAATGGTTGTTCTAAAAAAGCCCTTAATTAATATATATATATAAAAGCCTTATCTTAGACACAATGACTCTACTAGAGTATCTCTTTTGATACTATTAGTGTATCTCTTTGCAATAGACCTCCGACATTTAAGACCTAAGAAATACATTTCATCTACCTATATAATGCACACATGTTTTGACGAATAACAACTTTATTGAGCGCTTGATATAACCAGCTTCACAGATATCTTGAAATAAAACAGAAATTTTCCCAATGGGATACTGTCAAAAACAGAAAAAATATAAAATTAATAGAATTTCTAATAATAAAAGACCGAGGCATAACGTGCACAACAAATCCATACCTGCCAACCTCTAAAGATAAAAATTCAGAAGATTTCTCCAAAATTCAGAAGAACACGAAGAAATAATATCATGCTTTGCTATTAAAAAAATAACAATTTATACAAATAGAAAAAAGAAAATTGTACTTACATTAGTAAATCTCAATTAAGTAGTAACTAAAAACTTTATTAGGAAACATAAAACAAGAACTTAATGTTACACACACACACACAACACACACACACCAAAAAAAAAAAAAAAAAAAAAGCAAGCAATGAATTTAGAGTGCATTTTTTGGCTTTAGCCTAAAATTCTTTGGAAAATTTCCTGTCATAACAATTAGTTTCCTCATAACATTTAGCAATTAAAATGATTTCTAGAGTTTTTGGTGAAATTGAAGAACGAAACATAGTTTTGCTTTTCTTCACAACACTGAAGACTCTCTCGCACTCAGCATTACTGTGTGGAATTACGAGAATAGCACATAAAACTCTTGCTAGTCTATCATATTTTGGTGTTCCATCAGCTCTTTTTATTCTTTTTAAGGTACCAACGAGGACATCAAGTCTATCTTCTCCAGAACTGGCAAAGTCTTCAAACTGTGTAAACAAACATTCTGCCAAAAATTACATCGGCATCCGAATTCGTAGCCGAATTTGAAAAAAAATCAACCACTTTCTTTGACGTTGTTGAAGCCGAAGCATTAACTTCATGCTTTTTAGACTTAACATGCTTCACAATGTCGCTTCTTCCACCGTGACTTATTATGAAGTCACACACGCACACGTTGCAAAATGCATAGTTATTTCCTTTGAAGGATTCTTTAATTGTTGGAAATTCGGCTTTGTAGGCAGGCCAAAAATATTGAGAATACGGTTTTTTTGAACTCATTTCGTAATAACGATGTATTAAGAAAATTCGTAGCACGTGCAAACACACACACACAAAAAAAGATGCGACTATCCACGTTGAAAAAATAACCTGGCGCCCACAAAGAAAAGAGTGGGAGAAACAAGTTCAGCGCATTGGATTGGCTGGTTAAGCGGAGAGTTGGGAGAAACCACAGGTTACTGGATTCGAAGTAGTCGGTAGTTGGCGGTAAAACAAGATGCAATTGGCAAAAATCGCTGAATTGGCTAAAAATTCTAAAATTTCGACAAAAATCACTAAAAACACTTGAAAAAGGAAAAAAATCGTAAAATCGTAAAGACAAACGCATTTTCGTAAAAATTACGAAAAATTCATAAAAGTTGACAGGTATGCAAATCTGATGATATCTACAAAAATTAAACAAAAAAGTTATTCATAAAATATTAAAAAAAAATAAATTCATAAAGTCTTGTAGACAGCATTAAATAACATTCTCTCTAACTTGATTTATTACCTTTGAGGTAAATCAACAAAGTTCAACAGCTTAGTCTTTTTGCTGTCTTGATTATGGTGGTGTATCGGCTGCCTTTCACTGGCTTGTCATGTCAGATGAGTGATTTGCTTCTGAAAGAAAACAAATCTCTCTGACACAATTTCTCACAAAAATTCACCAATGATCATTGCACTTGACCCATGACATGGCTGTGGTGAAATCAGACCAGTAATATTTCAATTTTGTCTAAGGATCTTAGACACAATGCTTCTACAACATACTTTGCTAGAAGCACTCCTAAAACACAGGCTAAAAGCTAGATACATGGTACTGTCATTGTTTCTAAAGGTGCAACATGCTATTTCGTGGCCAGAAAATTTAGAAAGGTGTCACACTGTCTTCACAATGCAAGAATATCAAAGTTGCGTAAGCTTTCTGGGTTCGAGTCACATAAAACATGCAAAGTCCAAATTTGTTTGTTTCCATATCCTATTCTGCAGGATATTTTCAAATCTGATAAGATATTTAATTCACTATACCACTTCAAAAATTTTTGTTTGACCCCTTCAGAAATTGGAAAATCCCAATCCGTTTTAATAGCTCAAATTTTTTGAATCAATAGCTTAGCCAATAATAACACAAAGAGCTAAAAAACTCTAGAGGATAAAAAAAAAAAAAATCTGTAACAAAATCTCTTTTTTTAACAAGTTATTTAGATTAAGTGCAGGCTCAAAATGAATAGGAAGGCTATCACCCTTTCTATCCCATAGAATATCCAAGACTAAAATCTGATTTTTAGAAACAGATTCTGAATTATCATTGCTCAAAATTTTACTAACTTTATTTATAGGATCGAATGTCCACATCCGAGGGTCCATCTTAATTTCCGCCAAAATGTCTATTGATTTATTCATAAAATCCTTCAATTCTTCTGTCTCAAGACACTAGACACAATTATCGATGTAAAAAGAATTTTGAAACTTTTCTGCTACTGTGACTTAGTTTGGCAGACACTCGAGACAAATGAAATGAAATGATAGCATATTACTAAAAGATGTGGCTCCTAAAAGGCACATCTTTGATCTTCTTGATCTTTGATCTACATCTTTAGATGTAGTCATAAAAGATGTGGGCTGGATTTTAACCAAAAAATACCCTAGTGTGGCGATATGCTTTTATGAAATTATCATTCTCCTA